GGATAAATTTCATTATGAGTATATGAAAAAATAAATTCCCTTTAATATGATTTGAAATAACCAAAAATAGGGTTTCCCTTGTTGTTAGATTTAAAAATTATTAATTTAGTATGTTGTTACTCTTAATAACCTCTAAAGCTTTATTAATTTGGATTCTAATTCCAGAATTGCTATCCATTTACAATTTCTTAATTTTTTGGCTCAAATATACTATAGGCTTTCAAAAAAGTACTGTTATTATGATAATCACTAGCATAATTTAAAATGTATTCAAAATAGTATTGTGGTAAAATCATTGAACTATAATAAGGGAGATTGTTGTCTGAAAAGGAAAACTTGGATCTTTCCATTTAAACAAAGTCTGAATTACTTTGGCTTTATACCCATATAGATTCTTGATTTCTTTATAAGTTTTAGTTTGTGCTATAAGGATTAAAATGTTATCTTGCATTATATATAGAGTGAAATGATGTACTGAAGTAATTTTATAACTCTTATGCATTTCTATCGATTTAAACTGATATTTCTTTGATTTATATATTACAATTTAAATTAAATCTAAAATATGTAAAATATTGTACTTATATATTGCTAATTAGGTTTCATTAAGTATCGTTTTAATCTTGCTGCTTTATTGTTTCAATAAATCTTCATTCACTTTTTCTCTTATATCATTCAATTTTTTTTCTATTTAATCCTAAACATCTTCATTTTCTTATAAACCTAATTCTTTAATTAATTAGTAAATTTCATGTATTTTGAATTACTAAAAAATATAGAACTTTTCTATACTTAATACAGCATTTCTCTGGATTCTTTAAATTTCTTTTTGCATTCCTCTAGACTGGCTCTTCCATTCTGAATAAAATTCTTTAGATATTCGCATAAAAAAATGAGTGATTTTTCCAATTATCCATAATATTTTTCTAATGTTTCTTCTGAAAAGTCATTCAAATTGTTATAAAGGGTTGTGTATTAATATTCAACTGGAATATGAGGTACTAGAATACTTGGGTTTTAAATAATCTATTGATGCTTAATTAATTTACTTCCGGTATATATAGAATATGTGCGCGATCATTAATTTAATCTAAACACTTGATACATCCGAAATCAATATTCTCTTTAAGAATCCTAACCCATTATGTAAAAAAAATTGGATGTTTTTTGCAAGGTATGGCTTTAATCATTTAAATATATTAATTCTAATAAAAATTATTTAATATATCGATTTATCAATCTCCTAATTCTATCATCATTTATTTACAACAATATTTAAAATGAAAAGAAAATTACGAATTTTCATTCTTTTTACTAATGTTCTGAAATGTGTGTCAAAACAGAATTGTATCATCATGAACTAAATAATTTATAATACTTGGAAATTAATGCAATTTATAGATTTAGAGAAATATTATAAATGAAATGGAATAATTCTAAATTTATTCAAATTTAAGAATATTTTAGTTTAAAAAGGAATATCCAAAATAACAATAAAAAATGAAAGTTCTTTGTAATATTATTTGATTTACTTAAAATTGCTAACATCTGGATGCAATTTTTAAGGAATTCTTTAACTCGCTACTTTGCAGTTGTGTTTCATAAGTTTAAGCCAAAAAAGAAAGATCAATATTACAGATTTCTTCTAATTCAAATATCTAATCCAAAAAATATTGTCAATTAAAAAAATTATTGGATTTATTTGATGTACTCTAATAATTGGATTAAAAAAAGATTGTAATTTTAGATAATGAAATTTATATATTTAGTAGGCAAATTAAATAACAAGATATGTTGTAGGATTCTATGAATATTTAATCAGTATTTTGAATTTAATATATATCAAAAGAATCTTTAATTTTTTAAAAAACTGCTGATTTATTATATATATGAATTGCTAAATGTTAAAAATAGATATGAATTTTTTTATTTCCAA